GGTGGCGGCGGCGGTGGCGGCGCCGCTGCCCCCGCGCAGCCTGCCACTCGCCATGCGAATTTTTAGTCGCGTTGCGTCACACGCGCGTGGATTCGCGCACTGCGCCCATCCCGCCCGCCTGCTTGCGCTCGAAATACGCGCGCCTTCCGGGGTGAACAGCATCCGCGCGGCGTGGCGCAGCACGTGCGGCGCCGTCGCGTGATGTAAACACCGGCGGACGGGCGGGGGGCGGGAGCGGGAGCACTTGCGCGTGGGTGCGGCGCGGCGGAGCTGCCGCTGCTGCATGTGCGTCTGTGTGCAAGTCGGGGACGCGGGACGCCGGTAGAGTTTTCGCTTTTTTTCCCCCTTCGCGTTCACGAAGGCGTGAGCTACGAGTTCGGAATGTGTCATCTCCAAATGTGTTATCACCAATTTCTTGATAATTCAAATTAATTTTGCTCCTCCAAAACGTCCATGATTTCCCCGTAACGACTGTTAATATGTAATCTACTAATAATTCTCTCCTTAACGTATTTGCTTAGGCACGCATTAAAATATTTGCTGAATTTTACGAAACACATTTTCACCAATTACCACGAAATTCGAAACACACGTGTGATGGCTTTGCGATACACTGACCAGACCATGCAGATTGCGTGCGGGTTTCCATTTGCTTGCATCTCCTCACCAGCATTGACGAAACACACAAGACAGAGAGAAAATAAATGAAATAAAAGACTGCAAGTGGCCTGAATTCCACGTACTTACGTGGAATTCAATTACATGGAAAGGAATATTTAGACAAATCATTCAACTTCCGATTGTTGCTATCAATTGCAATTGGTCCATATCAATTGGCCATAGACGCAATATGTTTCGGACCAGCCAAAACCAACCGCTCCATTTCTGCCTCTCGCGGATATTCTTTCTCCTCGCGCAAAGAGCTGAGCAGAGCAGTGCAGAGCAGACCATGCAGCAGCGCCGTGCAGGCCAGGCGCGCTCACCTGCCGCCTCACCAGCTGGCGGTTAAAGCGAGCTTAAAGCGGACGGCCCCGAGCGCGCGAGCCAGGGCTGCGCGGCGCAGTGCACCAACGGAGTAGCCTCGCCCGGTGCAGCGCAAGAACCTGCTGCTCTTTCTAAAAAAAATTGAAGGTTGAAGTACCGTGTCAGTTACGCTCACTCACGAAAAGAAGAACGGAGATTGCGACATGGCTTAATTCCGAAAGCGGACCTACACATCTTGCCTCTCCTTAGAAACGTGGGGCGGTAAAACGATAGGCTTATCTGGTTATTCGGATTTTTTAATAACCCTACGTTCTTGGTCCGTCCGGGGTGTCGTAGGAGTACATGTGTGAAGAATGTACACGCTGCTCACTCACAAGCAGCCTATTTTTTTGTTTATAATCTATAAGTCACTACACTACACTATACTTCACCTCACTATCCACCTTCTTTGGGTAATGTGATCTTCATCTAGTAAAAGTTCGAAATTTGTTTCAAAGCTGTTTCTACTTCGGACTTTATCCACACATTGTGGATAATGTAAACATTAAACGACTAGTTGGGGAATGCGACAAACTTGAACTTTATCCGTGACATAAACTTAATACAAACACATACCTCTGCATAGCATACAAGTACATGGCACGTGCCGTGTTGCCGATGGCGCAGACGAGGAAGCAGAAAATTTCGCGACGTTGACAACGCTGCAACCTTTCACCGGCAGCCTAGAGCCAGCTTTAGCCGTCCGCATTTGCGCTTCGGCAACGTTGCTAAGTGCCTGACCTCATCAGCAATATTGCACGAAAAACGCGAGTCCCTGGCCCGATTGTGCAAAATCAGCCCATTTTCTCGTGATTTTGACACGCATGAATAGCTGACAAAACAAAACGAAATTGTTCCTTGGCACTTACGTTTAAAAGTAGGACAGAATTTCTTTTGAGAATTAAAATAAATAATACGACGCGATCTTGATATGAAACTTTTCCTTATTTCAATCGTTAGTATGTCATTATCACGACCAGCATTTCAAATCTTATGTGCAACACAATATAATATGAACGAAATATTGAAAATGATGCGCGAGTTTCCAATTTAAATTAAATTGTCCCCATTGAGGGTGTATTATTTGTGTCTTGTTCATAGGCTTGCGCAGCCTAAAACAACGGGCCTCCGGAATTTCTTTGCCCTGTTTTCCTTTGAACGTTTTTATGGTCATTTAGGACATATTTTACTTATAAATTAATAAAATACACTATGAAGAGAATTAAATTATAACTTAAATGTAAACTACTAATAAATATGAACGGTGCTAATGTAAATCATTCACAGAGTTGTCAGTTGGCCTGGACAGCCTCTTTCCGTTTTGTATCAACATCGTGTCTTCTGTAACAGATTCCCTAATTTACCGGGTTTGACGAATTAATTTCAAATGCCGTGAAGAATTATTGTAATTAGTTATTCTGTAATAATTTTTTATTACCGTTATTTATGCATAAAATAATAGTGACCACTGACTTCGGTTGTATCTGAAGCGACCTACATTAAATAAAATTTAAAAAAAATTAGGTTATCAGGTTGAAGGGGAAAAGGGGGAATGATAATATTTATGGAAAAAATGTTTTATCATTTACGGCTATGGGACCCGCTTGGAAAGTGTTCAGGTGGGCAACGAACCCCTGGATATCTCTTGTTTAATTTTCCTCACAAACACAACATACGATCGATATGATTCAACATTAACAGTGGCAATATATGTGAGGTAATCGTCGACATGAATACATACATAATAAGAACGATGTTGTATAAATATTTCGGAACAAATGTAACCCAGCTCACATGAGATCACTCCGATTCCAATGATGTTTTCTGCTAAATGCCCGTCCGAAAACGTTCGAAGTCGCTAATGAGCATGTGGTTCTGCCATCTCGCCGCCTGTGACTTTCGCTTTTGCCTGGACACAGAGAAATTCCCGGATCCGTTCACAAGGCGAAGCGAGACGGGCCTTCGAAACCTAATTTAACTAAGTAACGGGCTCAACACGGCGCTCTGTCGTCGGGTGAAAGTTCCCCGCGCTGCCCGATTCCCTGCGAAGCGCCCGCCGCCCGCCGCGCACATGCGTTAAGAGGGTTGCCTACCGCCAAGGGGTGAGTCGGCAACACTGCTGTCATCTGTCGTGAAGCACAACAAACATTCCTAGAAATTTCTTGATTACTGACGTTCACAAAGTAAAGAGTACCAGGTATCAAGTACAGTCAGCGATATTCCCTTATGGTTGAAGGATACGGATTAATATAAAATGCA